CATTTTGCTCATCTCAAGAAAGCATGGATTTACATTTAAAGTACTTGTCCATAACTGAAACAAATAAAAAATCAATCAATGAAACAAATAAAAAATCAATCATATTAGAAGTCCCCAAATTTCAAACATATTAATTAGCAAGTTACAAACTTACAATCTTCCTAAATCCTAATTCAAAGACACAGAAACAGAGAAACTTATAATCTTCCTAAATCAGTAAATCCCTAAATCAGTAGCTAACTATCAATACCTTATCCATATTCCCTAAATGCAGTTAACACTTAACAATCATATTCATTCAATCAATAATATAACCCCAATTAAATCAAAATGCTTAATCAATCTAAAAAATCAGTGGAAAAATAAAAAAATCTCAATCACAAAATGCTTAATCAATCCAATAAATTACCTCGGTCCAGCGTCCTCGGAGCTTGGAGACTGTTAGACTGGAGTTGGGGCCTTGGGTTGCAGGCAGCAGCAGCTGCTTCACTGCTTGGGCAATCAGGGCAGAGAACGAAAGATTCGAAATGGAGAGGAGTGGAGGAGAGGAGTTGGGCTGCCAACTGGAGACGGGAGAGGAGTAGAGCTGGGCTGGAGATGGGAGAGGGTGGAGAGGAGTGGAGACGGGAGAGTGGAGAGGAATGGAGACGAGAGAGGGTGGAGAGAATTAGGGATTTGATTCTTTCCCCTAATTTTTTTTTATATATTAATTAAAAAAAAAAGATTTCAAAATCTGGGGGGCCGCCTGCCCACCTAGGCCACCCCTTGATTTGAGTGGTTCAAGATTATTTTGATTTTGATTGAGAACCTATTCCATTGAGTCGCCAATGTTTGGGTTCGTATTTTTTTCAACTAATAGGGAAATTGTTGGAAATTGTTTGGTGGTGGAGGAAGAGGAGGATGAGAGAGAGAGAGAGAGAGAGAGAGAGAGAAGATTTTACTTTATTTTAAAATTTTGGGATTTATTTGCACTTTTTAAAAAAGTTTGGAGTATCATTGCAATTAAGAGGGTATATTTCTATTTTTGTTTTATTTAAATAGGAGAGTATATTCGTCATTTCACATATTTTTATTGAGAAATTAGATAAAATTGATGAAAATGGCTTTTTCTACAATAAAATGTGAAAACAATGATGAAAATGCAAAAATTTGAAATGTGAAGACGTTTTACACACTAAAAGTCAAACGTGTGGACGTTTTATGCTAATAAGTCAATGTACTGGGTATATTTATGTGTGAACATGTGATTTTGGCTTGTAAATACAAATTACTTGGCAATTGCTTAGAGAAAGAAAGTACGAGTGAGAGACAAGAAGAGTCAGTAGAATAACATTTGAAGACTAAAAAAAAATTAATGTTCTAAAAGATGTGAGGCGTGATAAGGTATGAATGTCAAGTCTCAAATCTCACATCTTGTCCATGTATGGTTCTGATTAAAATCTGATTTTAATTTCAAGTTAAAGTCAATAATTAATTTTAACCACACATTTCGTGGGGTTCACAACTTTTCAACCACACATTTTCTCAACTTTTATCAAAATTTACTATAAATCTGATTTTAATCTATATCAAACAGACTGTAAGAGTCTGTTTGATTGCAAAAGTGGAAATAAGTGGTAAGAAAATGTTTTGCAGGAAATTGATTTGCTTAGAAATTGTTTTACTAGGAATTGTAATTAATTGTGTTTGATTGATATAATTTTTCATTGAAAATGTTGAAAGTTTGGTGTCCGTATGGCTTCGTTTTTTATGAAAATTGTCAATTAAAGTGATAATGTTTTCTACCACTAGGTCTAGAATTTGTTCCAATTTTCAAAAAAAAATAACCATACCGAATATCATTTGTTTGGCTTTGTATTTGAACTAGGAAGTCTAATTTTTTATTTTGTTTCGAAATTTGCCTCTTGGACTTCTCGTCTTGATTTTTCCTTAATGTTGTCTCTTATACTCTTGATCTTATTTTTCTTGACGTTTATCTTTTAAACTCTTGTGTCGAATGATTTGATTTGAATGTTTAACTTCTACTTTAATCTTCATTTCAAGTCCGATTTATAATGTATTGATATGCCAATGCTTGATTGATTTTAACGTTGAACTATCATCACTCAAAATCAATTGTTAGAAATAAT